GGCGAAATGTTCTTTACATCAATTAATTACCGGGCATGTTACATCAATTAATTACCGGGCATCTTTACATCAATTAAATACCGGGCAATTAATTACCGGCATTACATCAAATAATTACCGGGCAATTACCTGGGCAGATGTTACATGCATCCAGCTGCTGTCTTGTAGAAGGCCTCCTAGGCAAAGACTTAAGGGGTAAACAGATTCTATCTGTTGACCAGCCTCGCACCCCTTCCTCATCTATTAGCCTGGCGCAGATGTATTTTTAATACATTGTTTCCAGTTTAGGATGTTGAACGCTGGATCTTCTTGACTCAATGCGTGGGTATTGCTTGTGTCTCTATTTTTATGACTGGGCAACTCATTCTATTATCTCCTAATGAGGGTACAGCTCTAAAACTCAGTTTTATGGTTCTGAGGCCGGCTGGTAGTCAGGTTTCCCGAACTCTGTGGTAGCTCTCAGAGAGGCTGATTCCATCAACAGCCGAAAAATATCAGAGTACTAACAGTGCCATGTTGCGCATGTATGGTGTCCCTGTTTGTACTTTTGGTGTGCATTGCAGAGGCCACATTTGGAGCCCTTTGTTACGACTTAGGGTTTATTAATAGTAATGAGGCTATTGCTTAGTTGTTAAATAGTGTACTGAGTACTATCTATACTTGAGTCAAGTTCTTTATAAATTTAAAATGACTAAAGTACCTAAAACTAAAAAACACAAAAAACCATCGTCATCACCAAGTTCTCTACACCTATCATTTACTAATATTCGTGGTCTTCGAAGTAACTTTTCTTCTGTTGAGTCTTATCTCTTGCAAAGTTCACCAGACCTACTTGCTCTTTGTGAGACTAATTTGAGTTCGGCTGTCCCATCTTGTGATCTTAGTGTTGATGGTTATCTTCCCTTAATTCGTAAAGACTCCAATAATCACATGCTTGGCCTGGGCATCTACATTCGTAAGAACTCACCCATTTGTCGTGAAACTAGGTTTGAATCTACAGACTATTCATTTATGTGCTTCCGTTTAGCACAACTTCACTTTATCGCCTTTCTCTTTGTTCTATATCGCTCTCCTTCATCCCAAGATTGCACTATTCTTGATGTTATTTCTGATCAAATTGACCAAGCCCTCTCTCTTTATCCATCGGCCAATATCGTCGTTGTTGGTGACTTTAATGCCCATCACACCGATTGGCTTGGCTCTAGTGTCAGTGACTCTGCTGGCGTTAAGGCCCTCAACTTTTGCCTTTCTCAATCACTAACTCAAATAGTCAACTTTCCAACTCGTTTTCCAGACAACCCTAATCATTTACCTTCTCTACTCGACTTATGTCTTGTTTTGGATCCTAGTCAGTGCTCAATTTCTCCACATTCACCCTTAGGTACTTCTGATCACGGTTTGATCTCTCTAAAACTATTATCAAAGTCTTCTACTTCATCAGAATCCCCCTATCATCGTACCACATACAACTACCTTAAAGCTGACTGGGACTCTTTCCATGATTTTCTTCGTGATGGCCCTTGGGTAGAAATCTTTCGTCTTCCTGCTGACAAATGTGCTTCTTACATAACTTCGTGGATTCAGGTTGGCATGGAATCTTTTATTCCCTCTCGACGATTCCAAGTCAATCCTCACTCTTCTCCTTGGTTTTCCTCACATTGCGCTGCAGCAATTTCTAATCGAAACCGTTATTCCATATCTATCAGCAAAACAATTCTTCAGAAAACAGACATCTGTTCACTATCGCCAGAAACCATTGTAAAAAGGTTTTGTCTGATGCCAAAGCTCGCTATTCCCAGGTCATTAAATCTCGTGTCTCATCACAAAAATTAGGCTCTCGAGACTTCTGGAGAATCTTTAACAGTATCAATAATAAGGGCAAATCTGTAATTCCTTCTCTCTTGTATGGTTCAGACTTTGTCACCTCACCTAAAGACAAAGCTGAATTGTTTGCTAAGAACTTTTCATCAATATCATCTCTTGATTCCACTAGTTGTGTTTTACCTGACATAGCCGTCAAACAGGTTGATCCCTTGCTTGACATTCGCATCACTTCAGCTTCTGTATCTAAAGTAATTTCCTGCTTAGACTCTTCAACAGCTTGTGGTCCTGACAACATTCCTGCTGTAGTCTTGCAGAGGTGTTCTCCGGAGCTTTCATCCATACTTTCTAAACTATTTAACAAGTGCTTATCAGAGTCTTGTTTTCCATCATGCTGGAAAGCAGCATCTGTTATCCCTATTTTCAAAAATTCCGGAGAGCGATTTGATTCATCTAACTACCGCCCCATTAGTCTTCTTCCTGTCATAAGCAAGGTTTTTGAATCTTTAATCAACAAACACTTAATCTCTCATCTTGAATCAAATAACTTACTTTCTGATCATCAATATGGATTTCGGTCTTCTCGTTCTACAGCTGATGTGCTAACAGTAATAACCGATAGGTTTTACCGTGCATTAGATAGAGGTGGAGAGGTTAAGGCTATCGCACTTGACATTTCTAAAGCTTTTGATAAAGTTTGGCATGCTGGTCTTCTCCATAAGCTTTCTTCTTAAGGTAACGTCTTTAAGATTATTGAGTCCTTTCTTTCCAATCGTAGTATAAAAGTTGTCCTCGATGGACAACACTCTTCTTCACATCCTGTAACTTCAGGGGTTCCTCAAGGTTCAATCCTTGGCCCTATACTCTTTTTAATTTACATTAATGATCTTCCAGATATTCTCACATCTAAGGTGGCATTATTCGCTGACGACACTACCATTTACTCTTGTCATGATAAGAAGCCTACACTCTCTGATTGCTTGGAGGGGGTATCTGAGCTTGAAAAGGATCTCTCTTCTGCTACAGCATGGGGCTCACAGTGGCTGGTGAACTTTAATTCAGATAAAACTCAATTTTATTCGGCCAATCGTTATCGTAATAATTTAGATCTTCCTATATTTATGAATGGTAATGTACTAGATGAGTTATCTACCATTCATCTTCTAGGATTAACTCTTACTTCTGATCTTTCTTTTAAACCGTATATCAAATCCATTGCAAAATTAGCATCTGCTAAGGTTGCATCTCTTTATCGAGCTCAACACTTTCTTACTCCAGATTCTATTCTCTATCTCTATAAATCTCAAATCCGTCTCTGTATGGAATACTGTTGCCACATCTGGGGCGGATCTTCTAATGATGCTCTTTCTCTTTTAGACAAAGTGCAAAAATGAATTGTAAACATAGTTGGACCTGCTCTGGCAGCCAATCTCCAACCTTTGTCACATCGTCGTAATGTTGCTTCTCTTTCTCTTTTCTACAAATACTATAATGGGCACTGCTCTAAAGAGCTAGCGTCCCTTGTGCCATCTACTAAAATTCATTCTCGTGTTACTCGCCATTCAATTAAGTCTCATCCTTTTTCTGTTACTGTTCCTAAGTGCTTCAAAAACTCTTATTCTTCTAGTTTTTTTCCTCGAACATCAGTTCTTTGGAATTCGCTTCCTTCATCTTGCTTTCCTGATTCATATAATTTGCAATCTTTTAAGTCATCAGTCAATCGTTATCTTGCTCTACAGATTTAGTCTTTTCTCTTCCAGTAACTTCCAACTCTTATAGTGGTTGCTTGCAGCCTTGTTGGAAGTGAAGATAATAAAAAAAAAAAAAAAAAAAAAGAAAAAACAATTTTGTATAATATAGCAGTTTTATTCTTTATAACGGTTTTTAACAAACTTGATAACGAGGGTATCAATATTACCTGTCCATCATAAAAATAAATATATTTTTAACAAATAGATATTAAACCATAAAAAAAAGTTTTATTTAAAATATTTATACAAATAAAATCTATTGAAGATGTCAATATTTCAAAAAAAAAATATATATATATATATATTTTTTATATATATATATATATAAAATATATATATATATATATATATATATATATATATATATATATATATATATATATATATATATATATATATATATATATATGTGTGTGTGTGTGTGTGTATATATATATATATATATATATATATATATATATATATATATATATATATATATATATATATATATATATATATATGTATATATATATATATATATATATATATATATATATATATATATATATATATATATATATATATATATATATATTACTAATTACAAAACTATCATTTTGCATTTTTTTTATCCCAAAAGTTCATTTTTATTCCTTAATATCAAATACTATTTAGAGCTTTTACACTCAACGTACAAATTTATTTTTTAATTTTATTTTTTTCTTTGATTAGAAAAATTATGACACAAACATATAAACAGTATAAATTTTAGTCTTAAAATGATTAAAAATTCTTAAAATAAACTTATATAAAGCTAAATTAATATCTTTTTTATAAAAAAACAAAATAAATCTTAAGTAAACAACTGTTTCTTTCAAGGTTACTATCCAAATTTATATATGTATCTACTTGTTTTCATGCAATTCTGCACATAAAGAACTATTAATTGTGTGCGCACATGAAATTATCGGAACTGTGAAGATGTCTATTACAAACTAAAGTTATACTGAGGCAACGCTACTTTACCGCAAAGCGACACTATGAGGGGGGAGGGAAGGGTTTAGGGATTCAAAAAAATTTTCTGAGCTCTTTAATTTGTAATAGAAGGAGTTTAGAAGTTGCAACAAAAAGAAGAATATATAAAAAATTGATGTCTATTGTTGATATAATTGATGTATATTATTATTATTGAAAAATTGTAATGAATAAAATTGTTATAGAAAAAAAGTGTAGGTTAAAAAATGGACTAGCATAAAGCAAACAAATTTAGATTTAAATAAACTTGTTAAAAATCACTTCTCTGGGTAAGGAAAATAGTTCTACTCTTTAATTCTCTACCCTATTTATACTATTTAGTATCTTTTGGAAACAAGAAACCTAAATGCCAAACTAACAACTAACTCTAAAACTACATTTAAAAAAATAATATTCTAATGATAAACTTACCATCATCATGGCATTTAACAACAATGATGAACCATAGTAATACCCTGGTAAGAGCAAACAAAATGTACCTTCCTAAAATAAAAAATTTTAAATATAAGACAAATAAAACGTAGAATAGATGCAATGGCATGCTACCCTTCATGTTAGCTTAAGATCTCACATAGGTATCTTTTTCTAAGGACAAAGAACAATCTTTTACTGAAGTTTAACTAAAGTTGAATTTTGGTCCAATTAAATTCATACTTGATTCTTTATTACATACTATCATATAATATTATAAAATATTTTATATATTAATATTTTCTTGATAAAATTAAAAATATGACGCATTAAATGACATTATAACGTATTCACCATACAAATAATTTTATTACTTATAACTTTTTTCCTCCATGGCTCACCACTCCACCACCTAACCACCCAACCAATATAATGTAAGTTCAACTAGAATGTGAAACATTTTATAACTTTCTTATCTTGATCAAAAAAGAAGTAAAAATGTAGATAGACACTAAGATTTATTGACCAATATGTCTTTAAAGATTTTTGCAAAAATACTAAGCATAAGAACAACAAATTATTAAATAATTTTGAAATTAATAAAAAAAAAAAATTGATTTTTAATAATTTAACTACTTAATTGAAAAAAAAAAAATTCAAGTGAACATGTGCACAAACGTACAAAAGAAATTGATTTATATTAATTATTTTAAATTTATTTGCTGAGCAATTACTGAACAACAGAAGAACTTTCAAAACAGTAACAAAGTTGCATGCTGAATAACTTAAAAAACCACATTGATTAACCTAAGAAACCATGTTGAATTACCGAAAAAACCATGTTGAAATAAATTGATAAAATATTTCAAATAACTATAACAAATATTTGAATTATTTGTGTTAAAAATATGAAAAAATATTCTGTAAAAAGAAAAAGAAAAAAAAAATCACAAAAACTTTTATTTTTAAACAAAAAACTCAAAATGTAGCAAAAATGCAAAACATAAATTGGAAATACAAACCAATTCAAACACTTTAAATCAAACAATAAAATAAAGAACTTAATTTATGAAATTTGCGGAGCGAATAAAGTAACCGAATATTAATGTGATTAGTTTAATAATGTAAAAATAAAAAAACTATCAAATTTTCGAAAACTTCTCCTCTAATGCTAAACAATTAAAAATGCCTAAGTGTTTTAGCCATATAGAACTAAATGATTTAGTGAGTGATATAGGACTTTCTAAGCAAGCAACTATTAATCTCTTGATTAAAGGAAAAAAACCATCTTGAAAATTTTGAAAAAGTTTTCTACTTTAGAACAAGGGTAAACATCTTTGGCCCATTCACATCACTTTCACAGTGGGTATGTCAAGTATTGTGAACAAACACATTGTCAGTAGCAAAAAGGTTTTGCGTTGTTTCATCTTAAACTTTATCTTGGTCTTAATTCTGTGAAAGCACTGGGAATGAGGTTGCATTTAGTACAGCATAACCAAGTTAGTCAATTGAATGAAAAATAGCAGGAATTCTGATTAGACACAAATTTGATATCCAATAAAAGATAAAGAATTCATTTAATCAGATAGCAATAAGAAAATAGCTTGGTTGTTGTTTTTGGTTGTTGTTAAAATCTTTCTTGAAAACTACTCAGACTTAGTTGATAAAAGGTAGAAAGTCTTTTGTGATTCTGAATTCAAAATGAGAATAAAACTTTTTTCTATAAATAGCCATCTTTACCTGTTTCCTGAAAATCTTGGAGATGTGAGTGAAGAGTAAAAATAGTTGTTTCACTAAGATCTTAAGATCAACAACATTGGGCCAAAATATGATGGCAGACTACTAAAGTCTGTCCAATTCTTGTCTGATGCTGTCCAATTCTTGTCGTTAATTACTGTTTCTAACTGTTAACCTAATATTAATATAATAACTCAAACTTAATAATAATATTATAAATCAAATTTAAAATAAGTTAGAATATTTTATTTGATATTTATGTCTAATTTTTATAAACCATCATCAAACATAAAATGGCAATTTAAAAATTGTTACAATATAAAATATTAAAAACCATAAAGAAATCATTACAAAAACAACGCCAATAAAACAACGTCAATAAAAATTATTTTACCCTGTTATCCCTGTTTAGTAGTACTCGGGATTGTTTGCGCATAATTAATTTCAAGCGATTCCCTTACTTTTCTTTCATTATAGTTGTCATTTATAGATAACGCTTTTGGGTGCAGCCAGCTGATATCCCATGGCATTGCACAGTGGGACAGAGTGTGCCAAAATACCAAAAAATCAATGTCGGCATTGCATGGTGAAAATTTGTTATAATGGTGAAGACATGTTCATTAGAGGAAATATCTAGTTAAAAAAACATTTAATATTAATTCAAGTGTTATTTTATGCAGTTATTTACACGTGAATTTGACATGTGTTCCAAAACGCTATTTTGCATTTTTTATTTATCAACTTTCTTATGCTATTATTGTTTTAAATTAACTTTATTGACTTTCATTTTCTAAATATATTTTTTTAATTAACAATGTTCTTTTTGCTCAGACTTATAAAAAACAATTTTATTTTAATTTTTAAGTGTAATCATTAGTTTGTATGCATCGAAAACAGACAGTTTTCTATTTATTTTTTTTTGCTTTTAGCCTTTACTATCAGGTATCAGATAAACTATCCTCCGATATTATTCAAACATTTCATTATGTAAATCTCATGCTAAATGTATGTAAATAGCCTAGCGTCATAAATATTTTGCTACTCAGTTGATGAGAAAAACTGAACATGTAAAAAAGATGTTTTGTACACAAAGAATACCTACAAAATCTTTTGTTACTGTTATTATGTATAAGCTTTGTAAACATAAATCTAAAAAAGTTATTTTATGACAAATACATGTGTTGAAAAGTAATATTTTTGATGTTTACATTGATAAAAGTTTTCTTGTCCATTAAAAAATTTCGTATTTTTCAACAAAATTTACTTTTTTTTATTTTTTAATTTTTTTTATATTATATAATTACATGTTTATTACTTTATTTATGCATTTAATATATAAATATCGCTATTCTAATAGAAAAAAACTACGAAAATAATTTTGGCACAAAAAACTCAATTTTGTCCCACTGTGCATTGTTTGCATTGCTCAGTCAGTCCAGAAACATGCCAATTGTCGCTCATGCGATTAGTTTGGTGTTCTGTGCTTCTTTGCATTTCTCTTTTTTGTTTCTCTGATATAAATTCCCCTACACAAACATGTAAGTTTGTATATGCCAGAGTTGCTGTTTGGTATTAAACAGATTTGTTATTATAGAGAATTGTTTTTAAATTAGACGGTGATGTAAAAATAAGCATTATATGTTTATAGTGCTTTGTGTAGTTTCAGTCCAAGCGATGGTAGCCAAGGTAGCTTCAGTCCAAGCAATGGTAGCCAAGGTAGTTTTATTATTGCAACATTATTTTCTAGTTTTTTTACTTCTTTATTGTTTTTAATTGAAAGCTAATTCATAGCAATTATTTCTAAATTTGATCTCTTATGACCATATTTAATAAACATATCTATTATAAACTGAATCTTGTTGTTAATGTATTTTTCGGAGTAGATTTCGGCAGCTTATGATAAGAAATCTTTTAAAACTCCAGTAATAATTGAAGGGTTAATATTTGAGTTAGGTTTTATTTGTATGTTTGTTATTGCTTCTTTGCAGTGAAGTTTGAAATCATAATGGTAATTATTTGTGTTAGTTATTTTTATATCAGAAAATTTAGTTCTCTCTATTCATTTTCAAAATTGTTGATTTCTGCAATATGTAGAGCTCTTGTTTTTAATTAATAACGCCTCTGCAATAACAACCATTATTGATAATCTAATTGGATATAAGTTAGGTATAACTCTAATTTCATTTTTATACAAAAAATAGCATTGACTAAGATATAGTTCTATTAATTGGTGGATGTCAGTAAATGTTAATTTGGTGTTTTTTTTAAGATCAACTATATCATTGTTTTTTTAAGATCAGCTATATCATTGTTTAAGATCAGCTATATCATTGGTTTTTTAAGATAAGCTATATGATTAGTAAGATAATTAATTATCACAGGTATGGCTTTATCATGGTATTGGTGTATACAAAGCTATTGCATCATATGATACTTGAATTTCATCTGGACTGACACACCAGAAATTTAACAAGACATTCTGATGTCTCATACAGAGAAGAAAACAAAGGTTGAAACTATTTGTCACTCTGGATCATTTTTTTCCAGCTTTTGAGGCTTTATAATGCAGTTAAGTTGTCAGGAATACAATCAGATGGATACAACTGAAAATACATTTATATATATATATATATATATATATATATATATATATATATATATATATATATATATATATATATATATATATATATATATATATATATATATATATATATATATATATATATATATGTATATATATATATATATATATATATATATATATATATATATATATATATATATATATATATATATATATATATTTATATATATATATATATATATATATATATATATATATTTTTTTTTTTTTTTACAAGTTTTTTTGTACCAAATAAAGGTACAAAGCCTCTTGTACATTTTTTTAGAGTTATCAATATAATGTAAATTAATTATTTACAAAATAGATCATCAATTATATATAAAAGTTTAACTAAATGAAAAAATACAAATTTATGATGGCTTTACCATCATAAAGTTGTATTTTTTCATTTAGTTAAACTTTTATATATATATATATTATATATATATATATATATATATATATATATATATATATATATATATATATATATATATATATATATATATATATATATTTATATATATACATATATGTATATATATATATATATATATATATATATATATATATATATATATATATATATATATATATATATATATATATATATATAATATATATATATATATATATATATATATATATATATATATATATATATATATATATATATATATATATATATATATATGTATATATATATATATATATATATATATATATATATATATATATATATATATATATATATATATATATATATATATATATATATATATATATATATACAGGCTTGGTCAGGAAGCGGGAGCGATTGCTCTTGAATACTGACCACGGAAATTATATTTAGTTGCAAAAACTGGCCAGGTTTTTTAGTCGTTTTGAGAACATGTAAAATCATAAAAATTGCTTTGAAAGATTACATTACGATAAAAAACAGATACACAAAGTTACATTTTCATAAAAAAAAGACATACTTTTTAAATAAAAAAATAAGAATATACTTACAAAATCTATTATTTATAATAAACTTTACATACATGGAAACATAAAAAACTTGAATGTTTTCAAAATATCTTGGTGCGGAAGAATAAAAAGAATATTTTCAAAATAAAAACCCGCCAAATTAACGAACAAACTAATTCTATTGGTTCAAAAAACACACTGACTAAGCGAAATAAAGTTCTAGAGTATTCTGTTGAAATGTTTAAGAAATTGCATTATTCACAATTTGTTACGTTTTGAGATTTCTAGCATAGCATAAATCTTATAAACTATTATTATTTGTTTACAAAAATGTTTTAAATATATAGTATTTAAATTGTCAAAATTTTGAAAGTTTATTATAAATAATAGATTTTGTAAGTATATTCTTATTTTTTTATTTAAAAAGTATGTCTTTTTTATGAAAATGTAACTTTGTGTATCTGTTTTTTATCGTAATGTAATCTTTCAAAGCAATTTTTATGATTTAATTTGTAAACAAAGATTTACAAAAATAATTGCATTTTCAATGAAGTTATTAATAATCTTTAAAGTTAATAAAACAAATTATGTAACAAACATATAAGAGGTTTCTGGTTACGAAACACAAAGAATGCATACAAAGTAACTCGCGGATGAACAAGCACCACGCCTGAGGTCACGACAGAACACAAATATATATAGCAAGTTATTAGATATAAAGAAAAGTTTCTAGATATTGGTTTACTAACTCTAATTATTTTTTCTGCTATTCTTAAAAACTCGTTTTACTTTTTTCTGCTTTAAATACTAATTAAAATTAAAAAGCTTACTCACTAAACATCATCAGCGATATTGTGAAGCAGTTTCGCTTCCTCGTCATAAAGTATTTTTAATCTTTTTAGTTGAATTCTATTTAGTTAATTTAATCTCTTTAGTAATTCAATGATTTAATTATTTCATTTGTTTACCTTACTAAAAAGTATTGTTTCAAATATGTTAAGCTTTAACATAAAATAGGTATTAAAAAAATTAACTTTTTTATTTAAAAAATAATTTAGCTTAGATAAAACTAAAACTTGCAAACTTTGTTAAATAAAAAATATTTGTTTCCTTTTTAAACAACCGTAAGATGTTACATTATGTAAAAAACGTCTTTTAATTTTAAAAAAAAATTAAAAAAGAGCAATGTTTCGAAAATATTTGATAAATACTCAAAATGACTAAAAAATCTGGTTATTTCCGTGGTCAGCAATCGAGAGTGATTGCTCCCGCTTCCCAACCAAGATTGTATATATATATATATATATATATATATATATATATATATATATATATATATATATATATATATATATATATATATATATATACACACACACATATTTCATTTAAATTTAATGCCACATTTTTAAAAAAAATCTCTAAAAAATTAATATAACTTTTGAATTATCACAATATGAGAAACACTTTAATTATTTCTTTAATTATTCTTTGATTTTTTTTTAAAATAGCTCTTATAAGGGTAATATTTTTAATAATAACCATTTTTTTTAATATTCAAAATTAATTAAAATATAAATTTTCTTATTTTAATTTCTATTAATTTTTTGATATCTAGGCTGTAAAAATAAAAAATATTTAGATTTATTGTTACATATTGTTATTACACATTATTAACATATCAATTACCATGACATTTATTGGAACTAAAGTACATGGAATGGTACTAGTAATAAAATAGTTTTATCTTATTTTATAAACATAACTAACAGAAGGTAAAAACAAACCTGTAGCACAGCAGGGTAATAAAAAGGTTTACTATCTTTACACAGCACTTCAGGATACATCATGTCAAAAGTTCCAGGACAAGCCTGTATCATTAAGAGATCTGGGTGCAAATCTTTAAGTTTGTTTAATACATTTCTCTTTTCAATATCCATGCTCACTTGACTAACTATAAGCTTCCATTTTCGAGTTCCACTATAAAAAAGTTTGCTTTATAGCAATACACTGCAGTTGTTTCAATAAATATTTTTTGATATAATTTAATAGTAGTAAAAATATCAACCTAAATGTTGAAAACTTTTGAGTAGAAGTCATGGCTTTAGTGAAAAGAGGTATACTAATATCAAATCCTTGACGATAATTAGAAGATATAAAATTTGCTCCAGCAACTATTGCATTACCATATGCTAAAGACATGGCTGTGTTAATTGATGTTGGATGCAACGGAAACAGGTTAAAAATAACATGATTATTGCCACTCTCCCATCTAAAACATGAAAAACAAACACAATAAAATAAAATATGTTGCAAAAATTTTATTGTTACAACATTATAATATAGTAGCTGTCATGAGCCATAAAATGCAGGTCTAGGGGAGTTTATTTTACACCTACCTCTATTTTTATACTTGTTCAGCTATTTATCTATCCTCTATTTCTTTACTTTAATGTTTTTTGAATAAATAGTAGAAAAATAATTCAATTAAACATTGCTTTTTGAATAGAAAAAAAAAAAGTGCACTTTATTTCCATGCTTAGAGCTCATTAGATCTCTTACCTCCCCCCCTCCCCTTTTTTTTTATTTATTTCGAAAAAAAAAAGTCTTAATTGAATAAAAACATCATTCTTTTTAATGTCCCAGATGTCCTAGATGCACAGATTAACCATATTGAATGTGTAAACACTTAGCATAAGTGTTTACACAATCTCTAACATAGGCAGCAGTTAAGTGACATTTATCACGGCATTTTTCAAAAGTCTAGGCTTAGGGCTTAGAAAATAAAATTGCAACCATTTATCAAGCAAAAGAGGACCAGGAAAATGGGTCACGGGGAGCTAGATATGTCAAATCCACCCATTAATACAAAACATTTTCAATTTTTTCAATCTGGGCATACATATTTATAACAAAAAAATGTAGTATAAAAGACTTTTAATTGTTTTATTTTTAGATATTATTGATAATATTTTATATATAATTCTTATATAATAATATATAACATTTTATATATAATTGTTAAAATATAGCTTTAAAGTTAAACCTAAAAAATATTTTGCTAGAGATGGGCTATTTTTTTTTTTCTCTCCACAGCCACACTTAGTATAGGAAAAAATAATTGTCCTATCCTGCTACTGGAGTAGCAGGATGGGACAATTATTTTTTCCTATATTAAGTTACAGACCATAACTTTTTTTTTAGATCATTCACAGCTTATTAGGACTAATTACCTGAGCACATTAATAACATAACTATCTTGATATGCACAACAAATTTCTAATGGTGTTTTGATGTTTTTAGAAATTTTAGGCATTGTAAAAAATGCTCTTCCTTTCGTTTTTTACAATGAATGTTATCTTTACATATGTTATTTATCTATAACACTTTAAAATTGTTTTTATTTTGTATTTTAGAAAAATAAAATAAAAAGTAAAAAATAAACTTCCAGTGGTAGAATTCGAACCATGGCACTTTGCTACTGAAACTCTGCAAGCTAACCACATGACTACACAGGAGTGTTGTTTGACAATGATTTTAAAACTATTTAACAAACAAAAGACTTTATAAAATGGAAAAAGTTATAGATCAAAATTAAGGAGATGTTGCCGCAATACAATTTTCAAGTGAAAGTAAAACAGTAAAACTTGGTATAAGTTTTGATATTACATAGTTAAAAGTTCACACAAGTCGGATACTTGCATACACTTTCATTCGCATTTTCTTTAAAAAAAAAAGTGCTGTGACTCTTTCTCACCATTATCTCGGTTGCAATGGTTCTGTGTCAAACACGCTCAAAAAAACGCTACTACTATTAAACTCATTATTATTGTATGAATATGCTTATTTATGTATATATACACATATATATATACATATAAATATATAAATGTGTGTATATATTTATGTATATATATACACATATACATATATATATATATATATATAATATATATATATATATATATATATATATATATATATATATATATATATATGTATGTATGTATATATAATATATATATATATATATATATATATATATATATATATATATATATATATATGTATATATATATATATATATATATATACATATATATTTATATATATATATATATACATATATATATATGCATATGAACCTGCATTCACTAGATGGCAGTTAAATAATATAGAAGTACAACAGCACATACATTTATTATTATTGCTTATCAGAAATATATTCAAGCATTATTTTTAATCATAATGACCAATAAGAAAAGTGCTTCTACTACTAATCTAATTTTACAAAATTAATATATATATATATTATATATGTATATATATATATATATATATATATATATATATATATATATATATATATATATATATATATATGTATATATATATATATATATATATATATATATATATATATATATATTTTAATTCACCTCCTCAAGGCCGAGAAGGCCACTACAGACGAGGAGGCTACTTATTTGTGGTAACAACCCTCTCTCAACTCTATAACTCCAAAACACGAACCTTGACGAACAAGGCCGCTGCACGGAGAAACAAGTTGAGCGCGGTACTACCAGGAACGTGGTGGGAATCGAACTTGGAACCACTTGTTTATGAAGCGAGCGCTCTACCACTGCACCACTACCGCATATATATATATAAGAAAAGTGCTTCCACTACTAATCTAATTTTACATGTAGTAGCTATTGCTTTTAGTTTGGCTTTTGGTTTTAGTCTTGATATATCCAAGAAGTGAGACCTAGATTGTGTACTTTTCAGGTTTACCAGTATAATTATTCCAAACACAGTTTGTGACTATTTTAAAAATAACATTAAAGCTCCATTAACTGAACATCTTAATTATGAGCTAGATAACACGTTTCCGGAAAATGGTATGTTTGATGGTCTAGCAGCAGTTCCTTCAACTGTACTCTCCAGAATACCAGTTAAGAAACCATGGAAACCGTACCACCAAAAGAAAACATGGAAATCTGATTTTTATGAATTTTTAAATTTCTATTTATCTGAATATGCCTCATTTTACTTCAATACACGCTGAGTTAGATTTATGGGAATTATTTTTGAAAAACCAGTCAAATATTCCTATAATTGTTGCTAATATTTTAAAGTCCATTGACATAAGAAGTTTTCCAAATATAAGAAAAGCATTTATTTATATATTAAGAACAATTCAATAACAACTTGTGAATGTGAAAGAAGTATTTCAGTTATATATATAACTGAATACAAATATATATATATATATATATATATATATATATATATATATATATATATATATATATATATATATATATATATATATATATATATATATATATATATATATATATACATATATATATATATATATATATATATATATATATATATATATATATATATATATATATATATATATATATATATATATATATATATATATATATATATAGAGAGAGAGAGAGAGAGAGAGAGAGAGAGAGAGGGAGAGAGAGAGAGGGAGAGAGGGAGGAAGTGGAAGAGAGAGAGACTGTTAGCCTATATTTATTTTATATTATTTGATCTTCCATAGATCAAATATAACAAAAATTCATAAATAAATAAATAAAAATTGGAGGGTTAACCTCAAATAAGATTACTAATATTTTAGGGTTACTAACATTTTAGGGTTAACCTCAAATAAGATTACTAATATTTTACATAAACTACTATCAAGAAAAGGATAGAATCTAAAAATGGAGGGTTTTATAATTATGATATTAATGAATTAAATTAATATTACTTTACATTAATAAATAACCTAATATTACTTTACATTATGTGCTTATCAAAAAAAGGTAAGAACCCAGAAATGGAGAGCTAACCTTTGGCAAAATTTTAGTATGCAGTTGAAGTGCTAAGTCCTATGGCTTCTTGTTGGCGCACTTTGTTAAGTAAATTAGACTTAAAATTACATGTCTAATTTATAAACAAAATAGCCAAGGCAACATTTGTGAAAATTTCTATAAAAAATAGATACTACAAAAGTAATACAAAACAAATTTAGTTATTATTTAATGACATAAAGAGCAGCGCCACTCCTAAAAAAAGGCCGCCTAGGGCATGTCTGCCCCACCCTTACTATGCCTTTTTCTGTCCCTCCATTTTTGAAATTGACTATACTTAAACACTAGGGATGTTGGGAGGGTGCTGTTAAAAAGATTTCGCATCACCCTTTTAAAATGCTTGATCCGCCCCTGCATTTATATTTTAAAATAAAAATTATATTAATTAAATTATAGTTTTATGAGTCTACTTAGATTTACTTAAGATTTTTTTTTTACAACTTCACGCACAGTTTGATTTAGCAAATGTTAAGCTACTTATCTCAATATACTTAGACCTGAGGTTTAAAATGATGACTTTAAACCTCAGGTTTAAGTATGTTGTGAAAACCTAACTTAATTGTGAAAAACCATCTAATTCAAATATCAGTTTATTTAAATTATGCAATCCAGCTCCTTATGTAAATTTTATAAATGACAACAACATTAAAAAATTATTCCAATAAATTTACTTGATGCTGTGTTTAATCAAGTAAAAAAAAATCTGAAAAACATAGACTTTTCTAATAAAATTCTGTTGAAAACTGCTCTGAATATTGCATTCTTAAGGAAATAGGTACCTATGGCTTTTCGGATAAATATAATTTATGACTTGATAATTATCCACTAGAATACTGGAAAAATAAAGAAAAAACTTATTTGATCCTTTTGAAGCCAGCTTGATTTGTACTAACTGTACAAGGAACAAGTTATTCTTCTGAACAAAAAATGTAACAAACTATTCACGTCATTCTCAATCTGATAACACTGAAACAGTAGAAAAAGGCAAATTCAAACTTTTTTTCTGTCAAGTTAGGATGTTTTATTTTGTTTTTTTACATTTACTTAAAGTTTTTATAATCAAGTCTTCCCAGGAGACACGTGCTATTTTTTATTTTGTATATCCACACATGAGTATTTTATTTTAGACAACTTGGTCACTACCATTTCCAAGTTTTATTATACTAGGTATTGAAGAAAAAACTAAGTTTCAAAAACAAAGAAAGCAAAACTAACAAAATAGGAAATTAAAATTAATTTAAATTGAAAAAAAAATTAATAAAAATTAATAATTTAAATAATTTGTATACTGTTTTTATTTTTATTTCTTTAGGTTAGGTGGTTGTTATTTTTAGCAACGAAATTGGATAAGGCAAAAAAAAAAAAAAAAACAGTTTCA